TTCCTTTCTGCCTCATGTTTCAGATTCACCTTCTTTCTTCTGCCCCAGTCCTAGAATTAGCCACTTCTCCAAGCAGTCTGAACTCCTCTTTTTTATTTTATTTATTTTTTTAAGACAGAGTCTTGCTCTGTTGTCCCAGGTACAGTGCAGGGTTACCACCACTGCTCACTGCCCTCTCAAACTCCAGGGTGCAAGCGATCCTCCTGCCTCAGTCTCCTGAGTAGCTGGGACTACAAGTGTGTGCCACCACGCCCAGCTAACTTTTCTATTTTTTATAGAGACGGCGTCTTGCTCTTGCTCAGGCTGGTCTCCAACTCCTGAGCTCAAGCGATCCTCCTGCCTCGGCCTCCCAGAGTGCTGGGATCACAGGCGTGAGCCACTGTACCCAGCCTTGAGCTCCTCGTAATGGGGAAATGATACTTAGGAACCATCTAAGGGTCAGGTGTGCTCAGTGTTTTGGGTTATCACTACTTCTAGGCCCTTTCTGTGGCCAGAGCCACAAGCTTAACTACAACTTTATAGCAAGTTTTGGCATTTGCTCCCTCTTTTTCAGTAGCTTGGCCCTTCACTCATATATGAATTCTAGGCACCTTGTTATGTAAGAAAAAAACTGCTGAATTTTGATGAGAATTTCACTGACTACTAAGAGCAACTTTGAGTCTTCCTTTCCAAGAATATATAATGTCCCCCACTCAGGTTTTAAAATTTTCTGCATACAGATCTTGCCTGCCTTAAGATTTATTCCTAGACACTGTACGGGTTTCTTTTTTGCTACTATAAACATTGATGACATTTTGTTAACTAATTGTTGATTTAACATAATGAACAGTGATTTTTACATTTTGATCTTAAGCTGACTAGCTAAACTGCCTAATTTGTTCTGTTTCCCATGTAGGAAATCATCTCAACTGCCAATAACAACAGTTTTATTTCTGCCTTTTTCATCCTTATTCTTTAGGACCTTCCCCCACACTTCGGTGCTGGCTAGGGCATCCAATGCCACAATGAAAAGAAATGGTGACTGTGAGGCTGAAGGTGACGTGGACTAAATAAGAACACTGACAATACAGGCAAGAACATAAATCCATACAACCACCTTGGAAAAAATGTGTGCACATCTGTACAGAATTCAGTGTTGTCTTGCAGAACTGGATGACTGCATACAGCCTTGGGTACAGATGCTGGCACGTGTGCCCCGTAACACATGGTCAAAGGTGTTCACAGAAGCACTGTTACTAAGAGCAAAATGCCAGGAACAATCCATGGCTCCTCAATCACAGAGTAAGTAACTGAACTGTTACAAAGCCGTGACAGACTATTAAATATTAAACAGCAATGAAAGCAATGAACTACAGCTGCATCAACATAGAATTTCAGGAATATGCTGGGTCAAAAAAAGTCACACAATACATACAGTATGATTACGTGCTATTCACAAATTTCATAAATGTGTAAGATGTACATGGCAGGGACTCAAGATCCATTTGTAACTGATGGCATGTCTCATGGCAGCATCTTTCTCTTTAGTGGAAAATAAAATACACAGAAAACAAAGTGCTCCCGCTCTCACAGTGAGGCTCCAAAGCGCCCTTTGTAGCATGCCTTATTCTAAGCAGATTGCCAGCAAACTAGGTGGTGGTGAAGCCCAGGGAGGGATCACTACCAGTCACTCAGGAGAGTGCCCGCTGGCAAGGGTGAGGAGTTGTCCTCTATGGGTCTCACAGATTGTGACTCTGGAAAATCAGACGTCTTGTCCAGCAAAATCAGGAATCCAAAGGAAAGTGAGGCCAACGGCAAAGAAAACAGAGACCTATGTGCTGCCTGTGCCCACCTGTCCGAGGCATGCCAGGGACTGTCATGGTGGGAAAAGTCACCCTACGACTGTTTGTAGTTCTGAACATTTGATACTTTTTCCCTCATGGGGCCCAAAGATACCCAAACATATGCCTGGGGATAAAAAGCTGGGGGACTAGGCCAGGTACTGGCAAATGCTTTCCATTTTGATTTGTGAAAATTCCAATATAAATGTGGAGACTGAGCATTAATGCAAATAAAAATTTTCATGAACTTTTCAGCAATTCAACCTTAAATGATTAGAAATAAAACTGTGAAGTGTTTCTAGATAATGTCATTATTTAGATGTTGAAAAATATAAATTTCTTATGGAATGACAGAGAAACAAAAACTTAAAAATAGGCAAGCAAGGGCGTGGTAGAGACACTGCTGACACTTTATAGCTTATATAAGTTCTCTGCTCGTAATAAAAAAATTATGGCAGCCAGTCACCCACCTGCAGCTGCAGAGCCTTCACCCCCTGGCCGGGATTCCAGGCAAAGACCTCACTCTCCCCTGCCCCAAACCACAGGAGGCTGACCAAAAGCAGCTGTGCACTGAGGGAGTGTTCTCTGCTGAGGGTCACGAGGAGGGGTGGCCTGGAGCTACTTTTGAGGGAATTGAAGGAGAGTTAAAACAGTCCCTAGGTCTTACCTGGCAGTCCAGTTTTGATAAAAACTTGTCTATACAAAGTCCTTCACCAACACAGCTGATTTTAGGTCATTTCTGCCATTTCTGATTTTCAATCTATTGTCTCAACCAGATTTTGGCAAGTTGGAAACGTGGGGCAGGTTCCTGACACCTGAAAGCCACGGAGGTGGTCTTGCTTCTCTCTCTGGGAGCAGACAGATGCCGTGCAGCACTGCCCAGGGGCTAGAAGGCTCAAGTTCGTGTTATTTAAGTTACTTAGCCTTCTCTGCCTCAGTTTCCCCATTTGTAACACGAGGCTGAAGACCCCAGCACCCAGTGCCTGGGACTGCTATAGGCAGGGACTAATGTGTTTCTTCAATGCTGACTCCTCCCCTACGCAGCTGTGCTGCCACCATCATCCAGAAGTTCCCGGATTAATCCTGTACTGCAACAAGCTACAGAGAATGGATCACAGCCACTTGGCTTTGCAATTTTCCTGCAACACAGCCTGTATCAGTCAAACACAAGCAAGATCAAACTTAGCACCATTACTTGGTTCTCACCTGAAAGGAAGAAAAACCACAACCAGAGGCGCTTGCTATCCTTTTCAGAGACAATGGAAAAACCCGCATCCACCCACAGGAGACTCTGCCAACGCTGGACAACGGCAAAGCCTGGTGGTCTCCGGGCAAAGCGGATCCCGTAACCCGCGAGCCCCAGTCTGTCGCAGAAGGGATTCAGGAAACACCAGAAGCAGTATGCGCCCTGCGTGCCTGGACATCTTTACATTTTTCCCAGGGTCCGCCAAGTTGCACCTGAAACAGGAGTGAAACCAACCACATCTGGGGAATGGCCAGAGACGTGGCTTTGCACGCAAAGCCCAGAGAGGAGAAAGTGCATTTCTAAAAGCCTGTTTGGTTTCCAAGATCCTATAGGAGGGACACGGACAAGAACGGAGAGCAGGGATGCTTCACATTCTAGACTAGGGTCCGCCACGGGAGGACTGCCACAACTGGTGTGCCCGGGGTGCCTCTAACATCTAGGATGGCGCTCAATATCCTAGGGCGAGGGAACAGCCCCACACCAGATGCCAACGGTGCTGAGGCTGTGAAACCCCACTCCAAACAAACTCTTTTTTGTTCACCCTAGCTTGCTTAGCCAGCGCCCACACTGGGCTCTTAAGGGGCTTTCTTCCCTCTGCCCTCAGGCTCCCTCGGCCTGCAGAGCCCCATGCTTAGAGCCTAGTGTTCTTGATACTTGCAGGTTTCACTTAAGCCCCAGCAAAGGCCAAATCCCACATTGCCTTGTTCTCTAGTTGTCAAAACCTTAAAAGCCATGTAAGACAGTCCCTAATGCCCTTGAGAAGCCTGTCCTCTACGGAGGGCCACCGGAGTGCTGGCCCTCAGGGCAGGGTCTCTGCTGACCTTTCCTTGGGTTGGTGGAGCGATTTTTATCCCTATGGCCACCTCTCTCATAAAGAGTCACACAGGACCATTTGTGCTGCTGTGGGATGCATCTGCTAACAGATGCTTTGTGTTACATGAACCTAGAAATGGCAGTTTCTAGTAGTGGACAGATTAAATTGCTTTTGTTGAGGGAAGATATCAAAACGGCAAACCAACAGTCCTCCCTTTCTGCTGACAAAACTAACAAAGGCACTGAAGACGTGCCTTCCTCCGGTGGAGTGCTGAGGAAGCGTCCCTCCGCCCTCCAACTACAGGAGTGCCAACAGGGCAAGAGGGGCCCCACAGAGGAAGAGGCACTGCCACTCTTCGGCCACAAAGCCCTGTTTCCAACGGGGGCTTCCACACGCAGGCAGAGGCTCTGCTGGGAGACGCATCCTTCACGGCGCTCAAATCCCCACATAAAATTCCCTCTTGTTCCATCAGACTACCTTAAAGTCCAGAGAGCCCTAAAATTTAGACTCTGAGAACAGGAAGGGAGTGCTCTGGTTCCTCACTGGGCCCGCTGCCTGAGAGCAGGTACCCAAAGCCTGCGCTGAGGTTTCACGGAACTGGGACAGGGACAGAGCTGGAAGAGGTCACAGCAGTCACCAAATTCAAAACCCTTATTTTACTCAGGAGTAAACTTGCGCCCTCAGAGTTTGAAGGACTCCCCAAAAGCTGTAAGAAAAGTGTGTGACTTAGCAGAGGCCACCCACAGGGGCCAACATAAGGAAGGCCCCGGGTGTGACTTGTGTACCACAGGACAGTCATGGCTGACCGCTGAGGGGCACATGCCACCATCGGGAGCCTGCGTTTATTCTAAAATTCCCACAAACCTTTGACTCTAAAGACACACGTACCTGATAGGAAGCTAAGGAAGGCAGCTTTTAAGCAAAAGCGCCAAATTGTTTCCTTTTGTTGAGTGAGGGCTCCGTTAACTAAGAATCTGATGAAGCCATACGACTTGGTCAAGGGTGTGGACAAATAACTTCCTCCCTTTTCCCCAAAATAAACCAGCGACTTTAATTCATAACATACTCTCCCTTATCAAACAAAACCTTGGTTTTCTCTTTTAACAGGTAAAAGACATACCTCCTCCCTGCATCATTTTGTAGATTTTGCTCTCAATGTGGAGCTGAGGATGTTTGGTTTTGACACATTCAAGCTTGATGGCAACTTCTTCTCCTGCAGCAATGTCCGTACCTTGGCAAAGAAAGAAAGCCACAAACATGAATTATCTGTGTCCACCACCTAACCCAACATTGCACCAGGCCAGGCAAACAGCAAGCACTCCGTGAATTTTCCAAGAAGGACTAAATGACGGACGCTTTCTATTTTCTACCGTAACCGTGGGAAACGACCCTCATTTTCACTCGTGACAGGAAGCAAGTGGAACGTACAGAAAGCCTACCTGGGATTCTACTGCCCTACTGCCATCAGTCCCCAGGCTCCCTCTGCAGGCTGCCTTTCTGGTCTGCTCACTCCTGCCAGTCCTGCCCATGGCCCCTGCACTCACTCACCCGCCCAGGCAGAACACCGCAGAGTTCCTGGGAGACTGTGTCCCTACTTCTGTGCGCTACCTCCATGGGCCTACCTCCATGGGCCTACGGGGGGAGTCTGAGCCTCCCTCTGAAGGGGGCTGGGTTTTTAGCAAACAGCCACAGCTCAGTCCATCCGGACCTAGCATCAAGCCACACACATCTCCTACCAGTCCCCACACCGCAGGCCTGCCAAGGACCCTCCACCAGGCCAAGGGATGCCCCTCTCCCTTCCTGGGGACACGAGACAGAAGAATGGCCTTTGTCCTCAAAGCCCTAACTGCACCACTCATGCAACACACGTGGGCACATACCTTCTGTCAGTCTGGGGCTAATGATGACACATCTGCTAACACCATGAGTGCTGGCCTACGAGCTTGGAAGCAAAATTACACTTACCTAGAAATGTTCTATCTCTGCTTTACTCCAATAAGGAACTACAAACCTGACAACTGCCACCCCTCCAGGATCCACATATACACTCCCAAGTTTGAACCTGGCCCAAAGCTGTGTCCAGGACTTCCCCCTCTGCTTGCCACCCCAGACTGTGGCTGGAGGCAATAGAGCACATACCTAGCTCTCCTCTCCCCTCACAGGTTCCTTCTAAGCATAAAACATTTTAATTGTTTTCAGTAGTGGGGCTACTTGCAAAGGAATTAACACAGGCTCCAGCAGCCCAGACTGAGCCCTGAGAGACTGTGCTGGGCAAAGCAACCTTTCTAGTCCTTGGTGACTCAGTTTCTCTCATCGACTGAGATCAGCGGGGAGGCCTACTGTCCGCTTCACCAGGGACTTGTGGAGGTGAGCAGGTTAGTGGTTATGCAACACTCTGAGATTCCCAGATGGAAGGCAGAGGAAGGTGAGTGAGCACTGGAACAATCAGACTGATACCCACACGTGCCCAAGGAACACCCAAGAACCAGAGAAGCAGCCACCTTTAGCTTGCTCAGTGCCTGCATGAGATCTGCTGCCTCTCACAAGCCTAGATCCAAAACTAACAGCCAGTGCTGCACTTCTGTAGGAATAACCAGCATCTGATCACTGCCAGTGACCATTCTAGATTTAAGAACCTCATTTACCATTCAACAAAGACTCTCTGGGGCACTCAAAAGAAAGACAGTTGGCCAGGTACAGTGGCTCATGCCAGTAATACTAGCATTCTGGGAGGCCAAGGCAGGAGGATTGCTTGAGGCAAGGAATTTGAGACCAGCCTGAGCAAGAGGAAGACCCTGTCTCTACAAAAAAAAAAAAAAAAAAAAGAAAAAAAAATTAGCCGGGTGGGGTAGCAAGCACCTGAGGCAGGTGGATCACTTGAGGCCAGGAGTTTGAGGTTGCTGTGAGCTACGATGACGCCACCACTGCACTCCAGCCTGGGCAACAGAGCAAGACTCTGTCTCAAAAAAAAAAAAAAAAAAAAGACAGGTAATACATTTTGTTCTTCCTGCCTATAGTTGGAACAATCTATCCAATTACAAGAGAAATGACTTCATCACAAAACGTACTGTGCAAAGAACTGAGGTCCTTTAAGGACCTGGACTCTGAACCAAATGCGCCAGCCAGGAGGGACCATGACTCATCTCACTAGCTACATCATCAACTCCTTGCGCCCCAAAGCAGGGGCATCACAGCCCCCTGCACCCCAAAGCAGGAGCAGCACAGCCTCTGGTGACAGCACCACCACCCTCACCAGCTGGCAGGTCCAGCGACAGGACAACACAGGGCCACACAGCCTGCTGGACTGGCATCTTCGAGAAGGCAGAGAACAACTCTAAGTCTACTTTCCTGTGGCTGATAAAGCAGCAGTCTTGGAGGAAATGACCACTGGCAACTCTGGAACACAGTATAGATTAAATCCTATCATGGAGCCAAGACCCTGTGCTGTGCCAGCAACATTTTTATCTAATATTACAAAACTTTTGGTATGCAACAGATTGGAAATTACAAAACCTGGTTCTTCACCTCAGGTAAATCTGAAAAGCACTCCTAGAAAAAGAACAAGCACTTACCAATACCACTGAGCTCTGAGTTCCAGATTCAGAACAAGTCAAAACCCAGTGGCATGCAGATGTTGACCCAGGTGTCTGTTTATACTAAGGACGTTCTATGCCCTGAGCCACCTCTACTCTCCTGTGCAGCCGTGAGACAGTGATTCCCTCGCTAGGCACAGATGTTAGTCTGTGTTTAGACACAGGTTAATGTTAGTCCCAGGAAAACAAAATCATGCCCCTCAAGTTGAGCAGACAAAAGCGGATGGTAAATTAAGTGAATCTAACCCAGAGAGTGACCCTGTCCCAGGACAGGAGGGTAATTCCTACTGAGGACTGTCTTATCGACAGAAAAATAGGAAGACACCTTGAACAGCAGGGCAAAAGTCATCTCCCAGGACAACAGTTAGCAAGGCAGCATTCAGCAGTATCATGACTTCTCATCACAAACCCTTGAGTCAAACACAAATTCCAAGGTAAACAGAAGCCACAGCCCTGTACACTGTAGGGAGACGACTCTGGAAGCTGCAGCAAGAACAGGGGACCGTTCTCTCACAGCCAGCCAGCATTTTGGGGCCCTGTGTGCCAGACGCCCTGCAGGGTGTCTCTCAAGAGAAATCTAAATCAAATCAGTAAGGGGAAAAAAAGTTGAAAATCAGCAATGAAGCAGTTACTGAAGTTTAGCTCCCAAAGATGCTTGTGCACATTATGAAGTCAGACTGCACAGTGCACTCAGGCAGGCACGTGGAGGCCCTCACAGGCTGGTGGGGCGTTGGGGTCAAGTAAAATGCCAACAGCTGCAAGAAAACCTCCAATCTACCAATCGGAGCCTCAGATCCTTCCTTGTGGCTCTAGGAGACAAATGGATGGGAACAGAGGCCACTCCGGCTTGTCACCCCGCTCTGCAGCCCTCCTTCCCTCAGACACCCTCATCGCTCTGGGGTGGCAACACATGGTCCACAGTAAGGAGACTGGCTGTTTTCAAACGTTATGAAGTTTAAAGTGGTACGCTGCCAGCAAAAGTGAAAGCACCTCTGGCTTCTACAACCTCAGAAAACATACAGCCTCCAGAACGATGGCCACTCCACAAGGGCAGCTCAGGACTGGCAATGCTGCCTTTATCCTGCCCACGGCACCACGACCCTCAACAGGCTGTATGAGCAGGGCCACCTCCCTGCCTGCTCTGAGAACCTTCCAGATCTGGAAGTTTAGACCAAGAACTGAGAGTGGACTTTTTGGGTCCCCCAGTTGAGTTGCCCAAGTCTGGTACAGACACTTTCTGAAGTCTGGGAATTTGAGAAACAGTCCCAAGATTCTTCAGTACAACTGAAGGGGCAACTACGGGAATGAGAACCTGGCTGGGCACAGCACGGCAGGCTGCCAGGGAAGGCAGGCCCACACTGCCTTCTCAGTCCAACAAGGCTAGCAAACTGAAGGCCAGCCTTCCCCCACTCCCAGTTTCAAACGTCTGAAAGCAGAGAAAGTCCCAGGTGGAAATCCAAAACCCCAAATGCTAGGCTCAAAACAAAGTGAAACCTACTTGGACGACAGGAGAGTAACGCCAGTGATGACAACAGGGATGGTTTTTATTACATTCATATGAGAACGTACGTGACATACAGGTGTCAACATGAGGATTCAATCCTTCAACTTCGAACTGGTTGCCTAAATGGAAGAAACTGTGGCACAGACGATTCCAGCACTGTAGTGTGCAGGTCAGCCACCTTTGCCTCTGTTACCCTCCTCAGACCCACCTTCCGAGCCTCTGACTGGAGGACTCGCATTTCATTTCACCAGTGGGGCAGCCTGAAAGGACTGCAGTGTGGGCCAAGAACCAATGCTGACGGGTAAAAGACTCAGCAGTGTCCAATCCCAGGCAGATATCTAGAAAAGTGCCCCAGCGGACGGGCCGTCTGGGTGCTCCAGCCCCAGGCACCAGATCCACAGCCAATCCACCTGAGAACACCCCATCCCCAATCATATCAAGTGCCTACTGTGCGCCCAGCACACGGGAAAGCCCACAGGATGCCAGAGCGCAAGCAGGCCGCACCCCATCTTCCACCTTGTGAACAATGTGGTTGTCTGAATCTATCTTTGGAAAGAACACGGCTGTCTGGCAAGGTCTCAGATGAGAGTAAAAAGTTTCCAAATATCTACCTTTTGATGCCTGTGTAAGGGTGGGTAATGGATTAGCTTTTCAGTTTAGCTCCTAGATCTTGGGGTTAATACTTTTGCCAAAATCTATCATTCTATAAATAAACTAAACAACTTCCATTTACCCAATGCTTTGACTCCCAGAACACATCTGCTGACTACCTGGATACAAATGTTTAAACAGAGAAACCCAAATGTCTCTAAAACGCATTTTACTCAGCAGGCCATTAAGGCAGAAGTACAGGTTCAAAGGCAACAACATGGCATGTGATGGGGTTACCCTGAAGGTTAACCAGGCACCAGAAGTACCTATGATTCATCCCAGACTCATCCTAACATTGCCGGCCCACAAGGCCAAGTCCTCCCTCAGGTGAAAAAGAGGGAAGGGTGTGGGGGGCACATTCACACTTGGGATGATCTGACTGACACAGTGTGATTCCTGTCCCCCACCCTGGCACACCAGCCACACACAAACACCAGGGCTGCTCACGACAGAACACATGTACCCCAAGGTACACCACTCTCCAGGCTACAACTTCTCAAGTTCAGGGTGTCTGGAAACCTTATGAACAACATAATTCCACTGAGATGCAGACAATTTAAGTTGTTTTAGAATTCCCAGCTTGAACATTTAAGCCAAACTTTGTGACACTGTGTGTGCAAGTGTGTGTTCTCTCACTGTAAGTCCCACCCAACTCAGAATGTTCTAACCTCAAATGCTTTCTCAAGTCCATCTTAAAATTTTAATAGTCAAAAGGACAGCTCAAGAGTAGAACTTTTCTGCTTCATTTGCCGCTAATTTTGCCCACATCAACATCATAACACTACCTGACTTTGCCTACGTTCACCTACATTTAGTCCTTGGGTACGTCCAGGTACCAGCTA